GGGGGGGGGGGGGGGGGTTGTGTTGTGTCTGTCAAAATGAATAATTAATCACAATTAGATACAACAATAACTACTGTACTTGGGGCAACACCCGAGTCGAACGCCGCCGCTTAACCTGCTGAATACAATCCGGTATTGATATTGAAAATCTAAACATGGTATGTAAATGAACCCTCATGAACAAACCGATTTGAAATTGTTCAGACACTCCAGTACAAGCAGTCAACAAATCTGAAAGGGAATTACACCGCAAGCATCTTGTTGGTCTGGAAATTCGTGTCCCCGCCGACAAAAGCAAAATATGGCGTCGCTTCTGGTTGGGGGTTGAGCAACATGCTAAGCGTGACCTACCAGTTTTGACTTGGAGGATTTGTGCAGCCAGCGTAGTGCGGTGCGCTCGACGCTACATGGCTGTAAAGTCAAACGGCCTTCGTTGGCCTCGTGATCGACACACAGGTCCTTCTGGCGGAGCTGCTTCAGCCACGTGTAGTTAAAGTGCTGACTCTGAAAAGTCAAAAGGAAAGTGACCGGTAGTTTCGGAGAAGAGTGACACCAGTCCAGCATTTTTCACAGTTGGAAACCTTCTGTGGGAATTGATCAGATTTTGTGACTAAAAGAAAAATTTGTCAAATTGAGGGTTGGTTCTTAGAAGGGAACTTAAATAGAGTAGGGGAAAAGAGATTTTAGCATCAATTTGATTTCCCGTGGACTGTACTGGGAACTTTACTTTGAGTGACAGTTGTGTTGAGTTCACGCTACCTGCTTGCTGAGATCACACGTCTCAAAGAAGAGAACACCCGTATGCACAGAAAGACAAGTTCTCAAGCCTCGATTGAAGACCTGCGTCAAACGGGAGAAAGCTTTGAATTCTTCACTCTGATTTTAACTTCAGTACAGTGGAACCTCGAGTCAACGGGCCCCGAATTCAACAGGGAGAAAATAGGCTGCGGTCCGCTCAAAAGGCCATTTTTCGCAGTACCTTTGAGTCTGTTTGTTCCAGAATTGGCCAAAATTCTCCACAGCACCGGTAAATGGCTTCACAACTTCATCAACTGCTAGATAGGAAAGTGTAAATATGGTTCAGAATTGTTGTTAAACACAATCTAGACATCTATTTATTTACAATAATTTTGTACTGTAATGGGAATTTTTAGGCAACGAAAACAAAAGTATAAAACGATTTTAGACTGCATAGGGTGTTTTTAGGTCACGGGAAAAAAAAGTACTGTGATATTAACGGACAATCGCTTTGAACGAACGAGCCCTTTCCTCCAATTGTGTCTGTTCAATCGAGGTTCCACTGTCGTGCAGAAGGACAACGTACCAGACCCGCCGCTTTGACTAAAGGAGCCTCCAACTCCGGATACACGTTGTCCAGGTACCACTTGAAACTCTTGCATTTGAGCTTGGCCCTCAGCTGGATCTGTTGGGTGAGGTCACCGATGTCGTTGGAGCTTTTGTCCAGCAGGTGGCGGTAGCCGTGGCCGTAGAAAAGCTCCTTGTATTCGTCCAGCCACACTTCGGCCACCCGGGCCAAGTTGCGCTCCACCGTCTTGCGCCGGTCCTTGGGGAACTGGTACGGGTTCTGTCCTCGGAAAATGTGGCCCACTCGGGAGCAGGGGATGATCTCGATTTGGCCCCCGCACATCCAGACCTGTTCGGGCAGTAGCTCTGTTTGCATAAAACCGATCTTTTTCACCCGAATACCGGATCAGTTGAAAAATCACGTGATCGGTCCCGATTTTCCATCACGTGATTGAATCGGGACATCCCTAATACGACAACATTGTACATTCCTTGACAATTTGTTTTACCACACCGGATATTTTGAATGGTATTTTTCTTCTGGAAAAATGCAACTTCAGTGGTGTTACGTGAAGGCCAAGCTAAAAACATTCTGAGGTTAACCGTACAGGAAATGACAGCAGTGTTATTTGTTCAAGTGTACGAGGCACCCGGTGATGAACTGAGACCTCGATTCGAAATGGAGGCAGTCAGTCAATCATAAGAAATGATCGTAATTAGAATTAGAAGCGACTCCGGGTTGATGAGATGATTTCAGGAGGCAAACAGGTCGATCTCAATATTTTTGAGTGCTACCTTAAAAGAAATCTCCATGTTCTCCCCACCCCAAACTTCCAGGCCTGGATCATAGGCGCCAAGTTGATAGAAGTATTTTTTATCGATGGAGAAAAGCCCTCCGGCCATGACGGGGCATCTGGGAGGTAGACATAAAACAAAGGTGAGCGACAGCCATGAAGAAAAAACAAAACAGGCGGGTGAGAGTGTTTTGGGGACCTGATGGGATCAGCCGCCGTCATATTGTTCTTCTTGACGTACTCGTCTGAGAGGGCGTTCCAACCAAACGTGAGAGGCCAAGTGAAAATGCCTCTCTGGAAGTTGTCAACCATCTTATAGCTGAAGGGGAAAAGAAAAGCAGAGAACTTTTTTTTTTTTAACAGTAAGTCAAGCGTGGAATTTACATGCATGCATAACGCATTGCTCAGCGCTCGCTCATGTGAAGGTTCAGTAGATTTGTGTGACCTGCTCGACCTGCTCAATGTTGCCTTCAAATAACATCTGTATTGAATTGGCGCTGTACAAATAAAATTGGCTTGACTTTTTAACAAAAATGGATCTAGGATGTCACCTCATGTCCTGGTCGCTGATGACGTCGATGACAGGACAGGCGACCTTGCTGCGGTCCAGGTAGATGCGCTCCAGCAGAGGCTCCAACCAGCCCACGTTGCATTCGACGTGAGAGTCGAGGAAGGTGAGAACCTCACCTGAGAGCAGAGCAAACATCCTGTTCGGCTAAAACAACCGCACGATGACACACAGTGCTAACGTTGACATTCGACAGATGGACGCTTCTTGTGTCCAAGTGCGGCTCAGATGTCGGCCGACACCGTTGGCAAAATATGGATCGCGGGCGCCACTCGGTACATCTATCCAACCCACCAAGCATGATCAAGACTACTGTAATATTCTTTGCATTAAGATAGGTATTTTGTACCTAAAAAAAATAAAAAATCTTTCTCTATATATCTATTCATTTGTCCCCATTTATCTAAAAAAAAAAACAAAAAAGTGAATTTATGGATGGATGGATTTATTGTGACTAAGAAAATAAAAATATACTAGTATAAAAGTATATAGCTATAATATTTTGACAAACATTTTTTTATGTACAGCATTAAATGTTTGGTGAAATAATCACCATTCGTTTCAATAAAACCATTAAAATAAGAGCAATATGATTTGAACTTAATAGTTTGTATGTATTGCAATAAATAACGTATTTATAATTCCATTAATTATAAAAAATACCATAAAAAAAACATTTTTTTTTTCAAATAAATAATTATATCTTTTGACCTGGCCCATCTGCCTGACATTAAAATCATTAGCCTAATGGCAAAACTGAGTCTAAGTCATTTCATTTTTAACTTACCGGTATGGCCACAACATTTAAAAACAAAAAATGTGCTTGCAAAAACAAAACAAAACAAACAAACAAAAAAAAAAAACAAGGATGCATATATAGGAACTGAAATTGGCGATCAACATTTAAGCTATTACCAAAAAAATAAATAAAAATGTACAAACATGAAGTTGAACACGTGAAAAAGCGGAGCCGACCTGTGGCAACAGCCGCTCCAGCCATCCGAGCCCTGATAAGACCTTGACGCTCCTTGAGGTGAATGACTCGGACCTTGCTGAAGTTAGCCATATAGTGGTCAAGATTCTCCTTCAGGTATTCTGAAAACAAAAAGGGCAATACCCAGACTGAACACCGACATGCGTCCGTTTTTGAAAGCGCTTCTGAGCTTCAGGCAACAGCCGCTCCAGCCATCCGAGCCCTGATAAGGCCTTGACGCTCCTTGAGGTGAATGACTCGGACCTTGCTGAAGTTAGCCATATAGTGGTCAAGATTCTCCTTCAGGTATTCTGAAAACAAAAAGGGGCAATACCCAGACTGAACACCGAAGCACAAAAAGGTACACGGCGAAAAACGAACGTCATGTGTCCGTTTTTGAAAGCGCTTCTGAGCTTCGTTACGGGTGAGCTGCGGCCTATCCCGGCTGACTTCGCGATAGGCTAAGTTACTGATGTCCTTCATGTAATTATTTTTTTCAATCAAAATAATCAATGAAGTAACTAAATGACTTTCGAAAGCAAGTCATCGGTAAAGTGACTTATTTCAAGGTAACTGTGGCAACACCGCTCGTGATCAATGCACTCCAGCCGTGAAGGTAGAACGCCGCTCTGACTTTTTTTACTGAAGTCATCCACGAGGATGATCTCCTTGAGGAGGTGCGGCGGCGACCGATTGAGGACGCTGTGAACGGAGCGCAGCAGGGTGGACCACACTTCGTCCACGAAGCAGAGGATCACGCTGGTGGACGGCAGGTCGTCGTGGACCACGTCGCGGGCGCAGCTGTTGGGGAAACAAAGAGCAGGTCGTGTCAGATGAGTCGGGGGTGGGGGAGGGGGGAGTGTGTGTGCGACTCACAT